TAATCACTGGGAGAAAACCCACTCACCAAATGTATTACTGTCCTAAAAGTTAGTTTAATAGTCTTCCTCAGCATACTATAACCTGGGGGTCTTCTTCAGCCACAACGTACGAGAGAATATTCAAGAAAGAAGAGCTGGGATTCAGAAAGCCCACTGGTCTTCCAGAGGCTGCCGTCTGTGTGTCCATGTCACAAACATCGTATCTATTCGTTCATTCAGTCAGTCAGTGAAAGTCAATTGGTCACTGTATCAACCAGGATGGCAACAGGAAACAGACGCACACTCGGATAGGATAGTTCAAGGAGGGATTATTCACCGAGGGACATTTACCAAGAGGGGAATGTAGGGGAACCTACAGGCATAATGTCCGAACCTCCAGCAAGTGGCAGTTCATCCCCGAAGCGACAAGGAAGTGGTTACCTGTCCCTGGTGGGAAAGGCATTTGGAGACCACCCAAGGCACGGTGAGCTGCAGGAACAGCCTGCGCGAGGTGGCCAGTGGGAGCCGGGGAATGACACCCTGACCTCGATCTTTCCCTTCCTACATCTCACTCCGGCCTGCACAGGCTGGCGCAGTCCACACGGGCGAGCCTCCCAGGGAGGACAGGGCTGGAGGGAGGACCCAGAGGGGCCCGCAGGCGATACCAGCAGAAGTATCTACAATGTACCAGCCATTTTTTGTAGGCCAAATGGATTTGTCAGTAAACAGGTAAGACAAAACACTTGTTCTGGTGGAGGGAACATTCGAACAAAGGGAGGCAAAATGGTGAACAATAAGTATAATAATCAAGTAAGATGTATACCAAGTTAGAAAGTGATAAATGCTACAGAAAAAATTAGAGCAGTTTAAAAAGTTTGGAGAGTATGGGGCAGGGGGTGGGCAGTGAGGGGTGGGGAGTGGCTGGGGTGGGGGGACCAGGTAGCACTTGTCCTTCACCTTGGAAGGGATGTGTCACATGCCCCAGTGGCTGGACCCCCGGAGATTTTACTGAGGCAAGGCCCTGCATTTTTGCAGGATTTGTTTTCTACTCTGACACATGTGAATTATCCTAACACTGTCTGCAGAAGACACATTTCCTGCGCACTAGGTCTTCTCAGCACACTGTCATCGATGGGGTAGACTGCCTTGACGCCCTGTGGGATGGAAAGGCGACCATGGTCCCCACAGGTCGGACTCTGACATAGGGCTGGAGAGCTGGGATAGCCCTGAGGTGGCCCTGAGCGAGGACAGCGATGTACTGTTGGCCCTGCCAGGTGCGAGCAAACTGCTTCTGATGGTGTTTAATAGACGTGGGGACGGGCGAGCCTGAGACAGCCTTTAACTCCTCTTGTTATCACACCACTGACGCCCATGAGGCTCATAAAACATGAGTCTTTCTTCCTGGAAACATGAGCAAGATTGGGCAAACATCTCCAACACGACTTTTGGCAATGGACAACCAAGAGTTGAACGTGGTGGCTTTTACAACCTGTGTGCCGCTGGCTCCATCATGCGACCTCGGCAGACCAGCTGTGTGGTACCTTCAGCTACGGTGTGACGTGAGGTCGGAGGCAAGGGGGACAGGTCCTGTCTACACTGTAAGGACTTTGGCTTTTACTCTGAATGAAGCAGGGATCCACTGCAGGGCTTTCAGCAGGGCTCTAATTTACATTTTAGAAGGATTGTCACGGCTGTTAGACAGAATAAAGTCAAGGGGCCCAGGGCTAGAAACAAAGAGTCCAGTTAGGTTACTGCAAAAATCCGGGCCACAAAACCAGGTGTGGACACAGTTTTAGGGACTGTTGGCAATTACCTTGAGAGCACAAGGAGAGTGGGGTGAAGCCCACAGAAACAGGAGAAAAGAAAATAGGCTGTTAGTGACCTCGAGCCCCAGGACGCAGCTTTGCCACCCTTGAACTTCTCCGCATACATTCCCCCGGTGTTCAGCCAGTTTGCGTGCTTTCTGATTCTCGCCACCTAAACCTTCTAGCTGATTTACCTGCCATGAAAGCCAAAGTAATCTAAAAAGTTGTCTCCAATGTCAAACATCCTAGAGGGATGAAAGGCAAGCAATTAGAGCACTGGCAACCTCGGAAAGAGCATTTCCGGCGGAGGCAGCACGTGAGAGCGGAAAGGGAGGAGGTTTGGAGTCGGTACCCCCTGTCTCTTCCCAGCGCTACGGCCTCCTGAACCTCTCTGAGCCTCGGCCTGCGAAACACGAGGATGGAGGAGACTGAGTGTCAACAAAGGGCAGGGCAGGCGTGGATGTCAGGCTGCAGGTACTCAAGGGCATGAGAAGTGAGAAAGTGGGCGATGGATTTCAGGGACAGAAACACAGTCCACAGGAAGTGCAAGTGGCCCATAAACATAAAGCTGTGCTCAGGGTCACTTCCATCAGAAGTACAGATCGCAGCAGGAGGATGTTGGGAGACTGGCCCTCTCATGCTCAGCGGGTAGGAATGTAAACTGGTTCACTTTGGGTTGCCATTTGGCAGTATCTGGAGAATATTAACTGGATGTGTTCTCTGAGTCAGCATGCTTCTGCTAAGAATTTGCCTTACAGCCTTTCACTTTACAAGTGCGGAGGGGCAGATGCACCAGCGTGTTTTCTGCAGCAATGTTTGTAATGCAGAGACTTGACCTAGGTGTCCTCCAGTGGGCACAGTTTACACAACAAAATCTAAATATTGGAATATAATACAGTGATTAAAGAGAACGTGCCTAAAGAATACTGCTAAACAAAAACATTTGCAAAAAATAAAATGAATAGTGTGACCCTACTTGCAAAACAGTGTGAACAGTATGCTCGGATTTGCATAAAGTGTTCTTGTACATCCTCTGAGAAATTAGTGGTTATCTCTGAGGAGTGGGCTTGGGAGACGGGAAACTTATTTCCCAGAGGAATCTTCCTGTGAAACTCTATCTAGCATTCATTCTAATGGATTATAATTTTTTTTAGCATCCATTGTATTTATAATAAAATGAATAATGGTGGTCTGTATTCCCAGCTTCTCGGGAGGCTGAGGTGGGAGGATGGCTTGAGCTCAGGAGTTCAAGGCTACAGTGAGCTATGATCGCGCCATTGCACTCCAGCCTGGGTGACAGAGTGAGACCCTGTCTCTAAAAAACAAAATTTGGTCCAAAGATTTGAAAAGGGTGATGGCTAAAGGGGTTTGGGACTAAGGAAGAGTGTTTAAGATAGAAGAGTCG